TTTTTTTCCCCTGAATTCCTTCACTAAAAATTACCCTGCTCCACTCCAACAGTCGCAGGTCCCAAGTTTTATTCGCTCCTTCACTCCTATCTAACCCTCATGCCGTTGCTGGAAGCCCAAAGCCTCTCGCCCAAAAAACCCTCCTTTCCCCCCCTTTTTAAACCCCTTTCGAGGACGACCCCTACCCCTCTTTCCCCCCCCTATAGATTTAATGCTTTCCATTCTTTCTACTTTGATCCATTCTCTCTAAATGCCCAAAACCCCCTCAACAACCCCTCTTTTCCCTCTGACTAATGCTTTTTTTAACCCCACCCCTTCTCCTAATTTCCACCTCCAAATTTTCTGAAAAAATTTTTACACCACAATTGCCCTTAGACAACATCCCAGCCCCAAACCCGTTCCCGCTGCTGCTTTTTACCACCCAAGTCACACCATATAAGAGTGTTGGTACTACTAACTTTCATACACCCCCTTCTTTGCCTCCATAGATAACTTTTTTGACTCCACATTACCTCAACGCACCACCCCCTTTTTTCCCCCCTCATAAATTCTATATTAACCCACCCTTCATAATCCACCCCGCCGACACTCAACTCCCAAGTATCTGAAAACTTTAAACTTCTTCCATACTCCCCCCCCAAATTTGATTCCAATTTTTCTTTATCGAATTTTGAACCCTCATACCTTACTCTTTTCTATGTTCACTTTCAACTTTTCCCTTTACCACTTTTTTTTTTTTTTGTAACTAAACCCTTTCCTTTAATTCTATTTTGTCCACTATTTTTCAGTTTGTGCCACCCCCAGTTTCTATCTCAACTTAGTATTGGGAAAAAACCCCTTTTTTAAAACCCCCAGATTTTCTCCATTTTCTCTCTAACCAGAAATTCATGGCATATCCACATTCTTTTGTTGTAAATTTTTTTTTTTTTTCAGAAAATCTGTGTGCAGTTTTAAATATTAATCCTGTAAAACAAATTTCAACTAATACTTTTTTAAAAACCTTTAATGCCTCCTATATACTTAGATTGAACATTACCAAATATGTGTGTTTTTATATTTATATTTACCCCTTTGTACCCATTTCCCATTAGTTTTGGGTATATTCTTATTTGTTATTGAATTATGTAATTAATATTAAATTTTTTTGAATAATTATTTGATTTTGGGATTATAAAAGTATCTGAAGGAAAGATATTTTTTTAAAATGCTTGGGTCTGATTTTGAAGAAAAAAAGGACTGTAATGAGGAAAAATTAGGAAAAATTTTACAGGTCAGCCCCAAATAATCCGGAGCATTGGGACCTGTATGTGCTGGATTAGTGACAGCACCGGGTTAGTAGGGCCGACCCGTACCACTTTTTAAAAGGAAGGGGAGATCAAAAGATGCATTTCACTCCTAAGATTTTTATTTATTGATATTTTTTTGGGGGTAAATTTTAAATTTTTTTTTAATTTTTTTTTAAAGGGCCCTTTATTGGGCCCACAAACCCATTTTTTCCCCCAAAGCCCTACCTTTGTGAAATTTTTATGATAGTGGCAGTATGCCAACTTTTTTTCTCAAATTTCATGCAAATTGGTTAAAAAATTATCCAAGAATAAACCCAAAATCTTTTAACGCAAGGAATAGTTTGGGACGTTAAAAATCCTATTTGGCACTGTTGTTATAACGCCTAAATGAACTTAATGCTTAAGTTTAAACAATTAATGACTTGTCAACATCACTGTGAGAATTGTCAGGTTCCATTATCGGTCAGCCACATTCTGTTAGACTGCCCACTTTATCAACGAGCACGCAGAACTTACCTCCAGCGTTGTCTTCGCTCCGCTGCTCTCTCTTTACCTTCCCTTCTCGCTGATGGACCCACCTTCCCTTCTCGCTGATGGACCCACCTTCCCTTCTCGCTGATGGACCCACCTTCCCTTCTCGCTGATGGACCCACCTTCCCTTCTCGCTGATGGACCCACCTTCCCTTCTCGCTGATGGACCCACCTTCCCTTCTCGCTGATGGACCCACCTTCCCTTCTCGCTGATGGACCCCACATTCCCTTCTCGCTGATGGACCCACCTTCCCTTCTCGCTGATGGACCCACCTTCCCTTCTCGCTAAATGGACCCACCTTCCCTTCTCGCTGATGGAACCCACCTTCCCCTTCCTCGCTGATGGACCCACCTTCCCTTCTCGCTGATGGACCCACCTTCCCTTCTCGCTGATGGACCCACCTTCCCTTCTCGCTGATGGACCCACCTTTCATCCGGACTCTCTCATTGACTTTTTGACAACTGACTTGCTCCACAAACTGATACCTTCAACCCTTTCTACCTCAATCTCTTGCTACCCACTACCCCTGCACTATCCCCTTCCCCGCTGTTTTCTGTAACCTACTAATCGTCCCTTCCCCCTTCTGCCGCCCGATACCCTCGCTTCCTTCCCTACCCTGCAGCGCTGTATAGCCCTTGTGGCTTAGCGCTTCTTTTTTATTATAATAAATAATAATAATAATCTAACCCCAACTCTGGCTAAGCACAGTTATTCCTCTTATGACCGTACACAAGGAGATAGCGATACAATAGCTGCCACTGTAAAATATCACTTGTACTGTATATTGATCATAAAACGATAACATTAAAAAAATTTCACCCACACATTTGCTGATCACAGGAAAGTGATGTTATAGTGGAAAATTTGCAATTAACTAAAATCATTTCTAAGAAATGTCCAAATCAAGGGTGGGCAAACTGCTGCTCGCCACAGGTTTTTATGCGACCCGCCAAGATCACGTATATGCAGCTGAATGAGCAAAACTTTGTTCGTTTTTCTCAGTTGAAAACACGAGCTGTTACACAAGCATTATCAGGCAAGTAGTTCCCAGTTGATGGCACTGAAAAGTTTGCCCACCCCTGGTCTAAATGTTATTCTGTTAACATTAAAGTGTTTCTCAACCTTAATAGAAATGTGACTTGCTATTTCTCAGATTTTGACAGTTTTTATTTTGGGATGGGTCTATAGCCCCTTAGTTATTAGAAAACTGGCTGCAGATCAATGCATTTCACTGGGTAGGTAGCCTGTTTTTGTATAAAGGCAGTTTCAGAAGACTGCTGTGAAAAAAGTAAGAGAAAAGTTAACGTGTCTTGTGTATAAAATTAACACGTATCAAGGAAAGGTGAATCACAAGTCAAAACATATGTAACTAAATTAACTTTATTTAATAAAATTATTGAGAAAATAATTAACTATATTCGCAGGTATGGCCCACCAACAAGGACGCCTTACAGGGTCATCGTTGAAAATCTGTCGTCACGCATCAGTTGGCAGGTGGGTCCTTATATCAGATGTTTGTCCCCAGCCTTCCAGACATCTGTAATCATCATTTATCTCCTGCCAATATGGGGATACAGGTGGAGTCAGTAGTGGTCTCATAAGTATATGTGAACTTCTGCATATACATCAATATCAGCTGAAGGAAATTTTAAACTTTGATAAGGGAGCTATAGGTATGTAAAAGGTGTACAAGAGAAGCTGTCAACTTTACCCCCTTGATGTTTATCTCTTGGAACCTGCTATTGAGAGAGAGGATTGATCTTGATGGAAGATATAAGTGTAATGATACTTATTTTTATTATTTTATTCTAATTTGTGGCAGGCAACTAGAAGAGCCTTGCTTTGTGATTATTTTTCGTTGGGGAGGTAACTATTGCCATGAAATGTCTAACCATTAAAATTTTATTGATGGTTCAGTATATAAAAAAAAAAAAATTCAGTTTTTCTCTGGCCATCAGAGGAGGAACATTGTTTAATAAGGAAGTTCATATTTAACCTAAAAAAAAAAAAAAGTTTGGGTTTCAGGGTTGATACTTTTAACTTTGAAAAGAAAATTACACTTTTGGCATAATTATTTCATCAACATTATCATGTCTAGTATAAATTATTTAACTTGGATGATAAAGGCAAAGTGTAATTGAAAATAATTTTGATAGAACTTCATTTCTTTTGTATACATGTATTAAATGTATAATATGTATGTACATACATACACACCTAAATTGTTAAATCACAATTTAGTGGCAAAAAGTTCTGAGTATTTTTCAAAATTTAAATATGCATGGCAGAATCACATAGCTATTCTTGCAAGATTGTATTATTATGTATTATTATTTTTCAAGTTTGTCCTCCCATCTTCCCTCCCCAAACACTATTATCACATTTTCAACATTCTTCTGTCTTGAATTCTGTCTTGTTTACATATTTCAAGTAAGACTACTTAAGGACTTAGTTTTTAAACTTTTATAAGTAACATTTGTGTAGAGCATGGATTGCATCTCCTGTCTCCCCCTTCCTTAATGCTCGCATCATTAATTTTGATAGCATGTTAATTCTCTTATTGCATTAATACAGTTTCTAGAATAGCATAAAAATATTGTAATTGTTTGTCCTGCTTTTTTTATATATAGTAATTTTGCATCTTAAGGCAAATTTTTAATAATGGGCAGGTTTAAAAAAAAAAATAGTAATTAAGTATTAAATGCTTAGCATCTAGGCCATAAGACTATTTTGTAGAAAAGTCAATGAAGGTTTGGGGCAAAAAGAATTATGATCTTAAATTTGTTTCACTCGTCAAACAAAATTAAACTGTAATGTGTACAGGTACTCCTCACTTAACCGAGTTTTGTTCCTAAGAATAGGTTGGTAAGCGAATTGGTCATTAAGCGAGGATCATACTGTACTGGTAGTGGGTTTGTCGGCCATCTTTAGATATTGTTTTAATGTCACCTTTGCACCATTTATAACATTTTTAGGATATTTTTAAATGTTTATAGAGTAGTGTACTGTAATAAACAGAATAGAGGAAATCAGCTCTAATATACATAGGTTTGCATACTGGTTGGAGAGCCGGTCGTAAGTCCGAGCAGTTGGTAAACTGGTAGGTTAAGTGAGGAGTGTACTTCAATGCTTGTAATAGAGGTAGAGTAGAAAATCTAGGATATAGTTTTCTTAATGAAATATGTTAGGCAAGAATTTTTTAATGTCTTTAGCCATTTTTAATTGATGCATCTGGAAAATTGATTTGAAAATTTTTTATTAACTAATTTTGGGATGCTGAATTCAAATCTGAACTTGATTCTGTTGTAACAAGTACAGTTTTTGTGAAATGGAACTCCACAGTGGATGATTGCAAAGACATAGACATCATGGAGAGATGTCTGGAAACCTAACGATCCAGTTTGATGACAGACTACTGCTGGACACCAGCAATACTGAACACAAGCTTAAAAACACGAAAACTGCATGGGAGATCTATGTGATTAAAGAAAAAATATATATATTTTTTTTTTTAAAACAAAAGGGGCCCCTCCCCCCAAAGGGCCGGGGGTAACTAAAAAAAAAGGGGGAGACTTTCAAAAATTTTTTTCTTTTTACTCTTTTAAATTTTAAACCCCAGAGAAGGGGAAAACTACCCCAAATTTGCCCCCAAAATTTTAAGTTTTCTTATGACACACAGGGTTTATGGGGGAAAGGATTCTTTTTCCACTTCTGCATGGAGAAAAAATGCATTTTTAAAATGAATGTACATTGAGATCCCAATTTTTGTAAAGGGCATTGCACAACTTAATATCTAGGGAAATAATTTAATGCCTGGGGTTTTTGTTAGGTGAAATATTTTCTTAAAACCTTAAATAGTAAAATTGTGATCAGGTTTAAATATTAAACGTAAGATTAAAAAAAAAAAAAAATTTAGTAAAATTAAACAAACCAATCCATCTTTGTAAATTTTAGTTTAAAATAACCAGTTTTGGTTTTTTAACTGGATTTTAAATTAAATTTTGTTGGGGTAGTGTAATTACATTATTCTACTTTTTAGAATTACTGTAATGTTTTTCCTTGTTTTCTGTTAGCCACTGAAATTTGAAGTGTAGGGATTTGGGGTTTATTCCCTTTTCCCCCTCCCTTTTTTTTTTTCTAATCCCCATTTCTACCCTTTTAAATTTATTTTTTGCTCAATTTTTAAAACATTTTCCCAAAAAATTTTTGGGGAAAGCCCAAACCCCAAGTAAAACAATTGCAAATATTTAAGTTTACTTTTGATAAAATTTTTTCAGGATAAAGCAGGGGTTTGTCTGTGCTGTAATATTTTTTTTTATCCTTTAGAAATACTTGTAATAAATAGTTTATATTTTTTGTGCTAATGTTGTCAAAAACAGACTTTTAGATTGTTAAAAAGATAACATTTTGATGATAAAAACAATGGGAAAAAACCCGAATTCATAATTGGTTACAGGAACTTTTAAACAAAAAATTTTTTTAATGAAAAACATAAAGGAAACACTGGACATTTTTTCCCCTCTGAAAACAAAGAAATTTCCCAAAATTTTTTTTTAATGGCCATCTTCCCGGGCCAAATCAGGGCGGAACCCTTAAAAAAAAAAACTTGATACCATCATTCTTTAATCATTGTCTATCTGAGGGCTGACATGACAATCAGATTATTTCCCCTGATTGGGAAAAAACCCCAAACCCCCGCATTTTATTGGTTTAAAATTTTGGGCACAGGTACGGGATTTAAATTTGGGAAAAGTATGGGCTTTGGTTTTTACATCTAGCATTATTTTTTATGCCCATATTACATTACAAAAAATTTAAAAAATGCTTTATTATTTTTGGGTTTTCAAAATTAATCCTGTATGTAAATTTTCATATTAAAATTTGTCTACATTTGGGGGATTAGATTTTCAATAAATACTAATATGTAGTACACACTATTTTTGCATAAATTTGTATTTTAATATTGAAAGAGAGCCTAAATACCACTCCTTATACTATGTTCTTTGTTTCTGTTTTAAAAATTTTAAAACCCAGTGACTGTTTTTTTTGCACATTCCACTCCTGTATCGTCTTTTTTGATGACTTTGTTGCCCTGCTTGAATATCTAATTCTTCTTGTTTTAAACGATAACCTTTGCAGCACCCTTTGAAAGCACAGTTAATTTCCTAACTAAAAACCCTCGGGTTTTCTTTAAAGGGTTTCAGTAATTTGCATGGCAACCCAAAGTTAAATGTACATGAATTTTAGAATAAAAAACCCACAAAATACCTAAATATACTAAGGGGCCAGGGTTGGTAATGCCCGTACTGATTGCTGGTAAAAATTCTTAAAAAAAAGTATGAACTAAGAATATTTTCTTATCCACATATAAAATGTGTTTTGAGTATTCTTTCTTACCAAGCTCAGTTGCTGTCACTAAAGCCTGCTGCACCTCATGTAAAATTTCATATTTTCCTTGCCCCCGTTTTCTGGGTGATAATTTAAATTGTGTATACGTATGACAAACAAATTTTATATGTATATACTGTATTTTTTTATGAATAATTAATAGCTAAATTTAGGTGGTTACTCATGGAAAGGCAGAAAAATTAGTTGGTGTGTTTTATAGGAGTGGTAATGGTTAAAAAAAAAAAAAAAAAAAAAAAAGTTAAACTGAGGATGAGTTTCGAGCTTATATGGGTAATTTGCAGTAATGACTCCTGCTGCGCTATATGTTAAAGTGTCCGCCCTATGTTTTAGTGGCCCCCCCCCCACCCGGTGAGTGAGAAGTAGAGGTGGAGGGAGAGGCCGGGGGGTTACCAAAAAACACCGGGCGTACCCCTGCCATCCCACACTGTCCCAGGGGGCGGGGCCGTCCCACCCAGCTGGACCGAGGGCCTGACCAATATTCTGCGTAGCATGTGTTACGCCCACATTAGGGTATAACTACTTGCTGTTGCCTTCATACATGATTATATCATCAGTGGTTTGAGAAAGTCCCTTTCTTTGCTTTCCTTATTTCCTCCTTGGTTATTGTTTGTATGAATGCTTGCTCTAGTTCCATGTTGTAGCTGAAGCATCATCTCCTTAACACTTAGCCTTCCCTTTAAGTCAGGCACACAAGTCACTTGTCTAGAGCAGGGGGGGGGGGAGCATGTTGGTGATTGGTCAATCACAATCTGCTGGGGGACAAGCCCACTCAGCAGTATGGAAGGCACCTTACAGGAAAGCAGGGAAGCTGACAGTGCATGATTGTAAATGCCAGATACTCTTCTGTCAGGGTATTCACTGAGAAATAAACAGTGAATTTATTAATAGGTAGGAATCAAGAGAAGAGTCCCTTACTGAGACAGTGACCTTCTCCTATTGTGAAATATAAACTCCTTTCATTTATTAGTTTAGCCCCTTCATTTAGGTTTCATTTCAATTTCTGGTAGCAAGCTAGACATGGAAAATTGAATGTGTGTATATTTCAGGGTACAAATTGTAACTATTGATCTCTCTCCATTTTACTTCAGGATCTCAAGGATTATATGCGTAAAGCTGGTGAAATAACATTTGCTGATGCTCACAAACACCGTCGATATGAAGGGTGAGTAAGTGGTTCTATGGGGCTCCAGCAGTCTTGTTTGAATGTTACATTGGGGATGAGCAGAGATGATTTGTGTGTGCGTGTGTAAACAGGGTAACATTTATGAAGGGATTCAGGGAAACTAGTCAGCCTAAACTGAAGGTGGAAAGTCAGTGCCTGCACTCTGAAGGTAGTGAGATGTTGCTGTTAGTCATTTGAATTGTGATGTGCACCTAGCAAGATAACTATTGAATGATGACTAATTTTTCCCTTTACTTTGGTGGGGAAATGGCTAATGTGATTTTTTTTTTTTTAACATGTTGGCCATTTCCCACAGAGGCAGGATGACCCAAAAAGAAACTAACTTTCATCATTCAGCACTTTTACCATCACTAATACACAACTGCCTTTACAGAGGCACTCGGATACAACAGTTTAGATGTCCCTCCAAACTGTCAATATCCCAAACCCCTTCTTTAAAGTGCAGGCATTGTGCTTCCCATTTCCAGGACTCTAGTCAGGCTAACCCATTTCCCTGAATCCCATTACAAAATAGTCTTCATTCACTCGTATCTAACACACGCACGCTTGCTGGAAGTCCAAACCCCTCGCCCACAAAACCTGTACCCTGCTCCCTCCAACCTGTTCGGGGACGACCCCTACCCTGCCTTTTTTCCCCTACAGATCTATATGCTCTGCAAGTCATTCTGCTTTGTTCCATTCTTTCTAAATGACCAAACCACCACAACAGCCCCTCTTCAACCCTCTGACTAATACTTTTAGTAACTCCACACCTCCTAATTTCCACACTATGAATTCTCTGCATAGTATTTACACCACACGTTGCTCTTAGGACATCTCCACTGCCTCCATCCGCCTCCTCGCTGCAGCATTTACAACATCCATAAAAGTGTTGGTACCACTATACTCTAGCACATTTCCTTCTTTGCCTCCATGGATGACATTTAGTAATGTTTTTAGATTTTTGCTAAATTATTTTTGTTCATATTCACTGACTTTAAATTAGTTACAAGAATGTATTGCTATGATAAAACATCTTTTCAGTGTTGTGGAGTTTGCTTCCCGTTCTGATATGAAGAGGGCCATTGAGAAATTAGATGACACTGAGCTTAATGGTCGACGCATTCGTCTGGTTGAAGATCGTTCTCGATCAAGATCCCGCTCTCGTCGTCGCTCAAGGACAAGATCCCGCTCACGATCCAGGAGGTCTCGTACACGCTCAAGGTAATAATCAAGAAGCCAAAAGTATTTTTAGTGCCTTGCCTAGAGGATAACACATTAGAGCCACATAACACCATGTTTCATTCTATTAAAAGTGGATTTTTATCTTTGCACATAACTACTTGATCATTATTTTTATTTCATCATGTTATTAGTTATTAGCAAACACTGGTCACTGTTAATCATATCTTGATATCCATCGCCTGCTTTGTTTTTGTCATGTTCACTTCAGAGTTCATAAATGATTATATATGGTTCTTAGGAAAGATGGTGGGATATTTCAGCATGACGTTACAGAAGTATGGAAGCTTAAATGAGAGTTCATTCCCCACCATTATATTTCTTTTGGTATATTTCCCCCATCCCTTTACCTGCCTCTTAACACCGATATAAAAATTCTTACCAACTTTTGTTTGCCTTCTAAAATGCAACTAATTTTTGCCAATAACACTTCTGCATCACCCTCAAATTCTCCAGAAAGGCATTTCAGTTGACTGTACAACACAGGATACACATATTTCATTGAAGTAAACTTTAACCAACCTTTTCATTTTATCACTGGAACTCTTCCATATGTCATTATGTTCACTCTACATATCTTAAAATTGTTTCCTAGCTTTTAAATTTTACCACAACTTCATAGGTTGCTGAAGATTAACTTCACAAGGGACAATATACCATTGCTCTGGTGCCTCCATACTTTTTGACAAGACAACCATTTCACAGGTCACGGTCCAGAAGTCGCTCTCGTTCTCGCGGGTCACGAAGATCACGCTCCAAGTCACGTTCTAGGTCTAGGTCGAGGGACTCACGGTCACGCTCTCGATCAAGGTCACGATCACGGTCACGCTCAAGATCTCGTTCCAAATCACGATCACGCTCAAGATCAAAATCCAAGTGAGTTTTTATATACTGTATATGTATGTATATATATGTACATGTATAATATTAAGGTGAATAGAGATGAATGGTCTTTAGGGACTTGATCAGCTGTAGGAATGTTAGAAGGGTAATATTTTTTAAAGGGATTCAGGGAAACTGGTTGTATCTGAGTGCCTCTGCAAAGATGGTGATTGTGTGAATAATGGTGAAAGTATCCTTGTTTTTTTTTGTGTGGGGGGGGGGGGGTCACCCTGCATTGGTGGGAGATGACAATGTTGAAAAAGAAAGTAAGGTCTTGTATGTTTTACAGCTGCTTTTCTAAAGTACAGTACATGTTGCTGTTATAGGCAGTGTCCTTTGAGGTGCAAGTTAGATATCTCAGTAGCTAGACATTATCTTTAAATGTGGTTAAAATTCTGTGAAGGGATTGCTTTTAATGGTGACTACAGTACTGTATTTATATTGATAGAACATTGCCAGTATGATTAAAAAAAAATTCTGTTTCAGTGATGCAAAGAGATCAAAGTCTAGAGAGCGTGACAGTCGCTCAAGATCGGGTTCACGCAAGAAGTCTCCAGAACCTGCTAGCAATCCTAAGGAAGACGACCCAATTCGAAATGAGTTCCGGAGCCTTTCTAGGTCCAGATCACGGTCGCCTGTAAATGCAAAACAGGAAGCTTCTAGGTCACATTCACGCTCGGGTTCACCATCACCTAGGCATAGGCAGAGTCGTTCAAGATCGCAGTCACCTCGAGAAAATGGTCACGACCAACCTGAAGACGACTGAGAGTTTCTGCTAAGGTTTTACACAAATATTAATATGCTGATCTTAGTAATAATGAGTAATTGCATACGAGGATATTGATTAAAATGCTTTATTTTTTATGAAATCTTTTAATGTATCAAGTGCATATTGAAGGTAACATGATTTCTATTATGGTGAGAATTGTATGTAATTTACATGGTACTGTATGAAGGTAGACCTGATAATAAGCTGTCCTTTCCATTTTAGTGTGAACAGCATAACAGTTTATTTAATGATTTGTTCTTTAAAAAACTAAATCCAGAGTTGAATATTGCCTATAATGGATGTCCTTTATGGTTATCCCAATAGTGCTGAAATGTTCCATTCATTAAACAAAAATTGAGAATTCAATTGTTTAGTTTAGTTTTCATTATGTATCTGCTATGGTTTGCTAAAAAAAAAATAGTACAAATAACATCTTTCTGGCATTTGTGTGAATATTTGTTGGCAAATTATTTGTATTTCCTTAATGTAATAGTATCCAAGTTTGGCAGATTGTCGTGTTACATAGGGTGTGGGTTATGTCATTTTGATTAAACATTTGTGATAGAAACTCTATCTTTCATTACAGTGAAGCTGTTTAGTATTTGTATGGTTGCTATGCTGTTTCTCAATATTATGTATATATATATTAAGGTATATAGAGAGTTAAGATTTCCTATTCATGATTCCCCTTGTAAACATGATAGTTTTGCCAAATGTTCTCAGATAAAAAATAAAACCATTATAATGGTAAGATATTATTTTAATTAGTTAATATGTTCCATTTTTTATATAAAGTTTTCAATGGCATTGTCACAAGTATTAATTCAAGTGTTGATTATCTTGGATTCACTGGAGGTAGTGATTCTGTGGCTATTATACCTAACGAATTTGTTAGCAAGGTTGACAAATTAAAACATTCTTGATAACCTAGATCTTATAGTGCATAAGCTATTATGGATACCCTTTTTTCTGACATAGTGAAAAGTATGACAAAACGTAAATGTGGTGGTCAAAGGTAATTAAATAATAAACATTTTTCTGCAAGTAAAGAATCCACCAAGTTCCCTATGTCATTGTTTCATGAATTACTTTTTCAAATCTCTTATAGAAGCAGTAAAGTAGATTGTCATTGCATAACCATGGATTTTGCAGAAGAAAATCAAGTTGAATTCGTTACTGAAGGCAAAATAGAAAATATCTGGTTACCTTGAAATAATAATAATAAAGCAAGGTGTTTAATGCCTGTGGATGTAATAAGACTTGAAGGGTAGCCTCTGAAGGCAAATTGAATGTGGAGTCATTCATAATATAATTCCACTTTTGTTGTGGTCTTGACTTGTTGCATTGTAAGCTTATCCCATAGTCTGCATTCAAAACTAGCTGGATCACCTCATTAAACAGAGATCTATGGTTGGAGACTTAACGTTTTTTTGTACTTGACAAGCTGTTGGAGTGTGAGCAGGGTAATATTTAGTGAAGGGATTCAGGGAAACCGGTTACTATAGATTTAGCCAGACTTGAGTCCTGGAAATGAAAAGTACAATGCCTGTACTTTAAAGGAGGGGTCTAGGACATCGACAGTTTGGAGGGATTTGTAAATTGTCGTATCTGAGCGCCTCTGCAAAGACTGATTATGTACGAGGTGAAAGTGTTGAATGATGATAATGAAAGTACTTTCTTTTAGGGTCACCCTACCTCGATGTGAGATGGCTGACTTAAATAAAAAAAAAAAAAAAAAAAAATCTATGGTTGGGCTGTAGGTCATTCTGGTGTTAAGGGCAATGTTCTTGACTAAATATTTTTTGTATTTTGATTCTAGGTACAGTAAACCTGTGCCTTTTTTGTTTTACAAGCCAGTCTATTTTCTTGTTTACTAGTTATGTAATACCCTACGGGGTAACCCAGTGGCGAGTCACACCTCTCACCACTTGGGTCCAGGGTTCGAGACCCAGCAGAACTGCTACTAGTTACGTGAAGTACTTGGTTAGAAAAGGGAGTGTTTCCTATTCAGTATTCTACTAAATATAGGTGGCTTGAAATTGAAAACTTTTAAGTGGTCATTGACAACAGTGTGTATAATGGCAGATTTGACCTTATGAGGAAATGTGTAGAATCTTTCTAGATATAGCAGCTATAACATCTACAGCACTAGGGTGCATCTTTCATGCAGGCTTGATTACTTTCTTCTCAGTTGCCTGTTTAGGATTCTGGTTTTCTTTTCATCAGTGTTGTACTTGGGAGACTACGCTTTACTGTCTTTGCATCAGGCACATCACTCATGGAGAGGCGCCCATTTCCACTTCGAGAATTTTCAGGTTCCGATTTCGATTTCCCATTATTCTATTGGGGTGTCCTGTCTATCAACAAGCATTCAGAATTTACTTCTGACATCACCGCTTTAACACCCTTACTCTATCTTCTCTCCTTGCTAGTGGCCCCACTTTGCAGACTCCCTTTTTTTACAGGAATAGCTTTATTACACAAATGTTGATTGTACTTCCTTTAGCACTTCACACTGCTCTTACTAATTCTACCTCTGTTGCAGGCAGACTCTGGTGTGTGGTCTGCAGTACATGACCTCCCAGTTTCATATTGAGATATTCCATTTTTGGAACTATTTTGCCTTTGGACTATTTTGCTGTAATCTCTACTTCCCTTTCCAACAACATTGGTCTGATACGAGTTATCAGACCAATGTCATCAGTACTGAGGTTGGGAGACAACACACACTTGTCTTCATCAGACATGCTCGTAGGTATCTCATGGAGAGGTGCCCTGTACCACTTTGAAACCAGACAATTCTCACAAATTCCCATATTCTATTGGATTGTCCTGTCTATCAAAGAATATGCAGAATTTTCCTCCAAAGTCTTCACCGCTGTAATGCTTCTTACTTTATCTTCCCTCCTTGCTCATGGCCCCCACCTTTGATAAACTCCCCTCTTCAAGGGGGAGGCTCCTTGGCGTGGTGAAGAAGCTCTTGGTCTGAGGAATTAGACCTCTCGGTCTCCTTCCTCAGACCGAACCTAATTACCCCCCAATCCCCCCTCCCGTATCCCATCCTCCCCTTTTCCCTTTCCTCCTCCTCCCCACCCCTCCCTTTTGCTCTTCCTCTTTTTGGCCTTTGGGATTTTTCCCACAGGCGCGCTAGTTCCTAGTTAGGTGAAAGGGTACCGGGGTCCATCCCATTCGGTTGAGGTTCTTGGCAGTGGCGTAGTTTGCTGTGGAATCTGGATCACCTGGGGATGTCCCGATCCCTCTCCGGTATCCCGGAGAGTGGCTTTGGGTGTATCTCTGGAAGCCACCTTTCGGATTCCAGGGGTGGTGGCCGAAGGAGGTATGCTTTGTGGCAGATATCCGGCCGCCCTCTCTTTTGTCCACCGAGGTAGCTCGGCAGATGTGAGGTTGCTATCCTGGATTACTGGTTTACTGGCATGAAGGGTAGGGTATGGCACGGGTTCCATGCTGCATCTGCGCTACTAGCGGTTCTGAGGTCCTCTTGGGCGCAGAGGGAGATTACTCGGCCCTTTCATTGCTCCTAGGCCCCTTCCTGATACCACACCCCATTCTGACCCTGCCTCGTTTTTTGACCACTCTTCGAACACTCCTGATGCCCCTGTACCTCTTACTGGTGCCGTTTCCTCGCCCGCTTCAGGTACCGGGGCTTTGACTGACTCCTTCGATTTGTCTGACCTCCGCTCTCCTTTGACTATGCTTCCGGCCTCTCCCTCTACGGTACGGCAATTTTCAAATCGCCAGCCCGTTTCACGACGGACCAACTCCGGTCATACTCCTAAACGCCAACGACAATCTCCTGATGTTCCATCGTTACCTTCCCATTCTACTCTGAAAAGACTGACACATCATGCGCTCCCTCTTCATGCTGAATTTCTGACCACACAATGGACTAAATTCTTTACTCTAAGACAGACTTCTGCCTATCTTTCTGACCATAGTATTGGCAAAGCGCTCCTGTGCCATGTTGGTCGAGATATTTCATCACTGTCCAGAATGCTACCCAAGCTCATGATCTTTCTCTTTAGCATATCCATACTACTCCTATCACTATTTGAAAAACATCTTTCTCTCAATTCTTATAGTGGTACTGTCATTCTGCCCCATACCCTAGTCCAACAGAATTTCCAGTCATGTGGCAATGACATTCTTGAACAGCTGGAACTCCAGGATCTCGCAGTCCTCAAAGTAGACACGTGTGTCCTTCCTGCCTGTGGGCGGAGATGTTACCCTTTTAATGTGGCTCGATTAACTTTCGACAGCCGTGAACTCCCGTCCTCTGTCACGGGACCGGTTACCAATTCGAAAGGTGACCCCTACACCGCAACAGTGTAGAAATTGCTGGCGTTTTGGTCACCCAGCAAAATATTGCAGATCTATAGCCGAATGCCCAGTCTGGTGCCGACGACCATTCTAATATATTTTGCAGTCAACCTCTAACTTGCCTTAATTGTAATGGGGCTCGCCCTTCGTACTCTCGCCGTTGCCAGGTCTACTTAAATGAGTGTGAAATCCGTTGCCTCAGAGGCAGAAGGTCTCTCTTATGCTATGGCAGTTACTCATCTCCGCCTCCAAGGGAGACTACCTCGTCTTTCTTATTCTCGTGTTTCAAAACGTCCCCCCCACTTCTGGCGTCCCATCTTCTGCAGCCTCCTCTGTTGTTGCCCCTCCCATAGCCACTCCGGCATCTAATCCTTTTGCTGTCCTTGGCTCTGACGTCCCGACTACAACTCAGTCTTCACCTGGTCTGTTCTACCGGACTTACATGACAGCAATCATTTTCCAGTCATTCTTTCTTCTTCATATTCACCACCTTTCCGAAGCGCTCGCTGGCAATTTGATTGGGCAAATTGGGACCTTTACTCGCAACTCACTGCTTTTAGTGAGGTTCCTTCTTCATCCTCCATTGATGAGCTCCTACACCTCTTCTCGACGTCAGTTTATACTGCAGCTTCTCATTCTATACCCCAAACCTCAGGCAGGCATTCTCAGGAGTGCATGCCTTGGTGGTTTCCTGCTTGTGCAGTATGTTTGAAACGCGCTGCATGGGGCAGGTACCGGTACAATAGAACCGATGAGAGACTTCTTGATTTTAAGCAGAAGCGTGCGATCGCTCGCCGTGTCATCTGTGACGCTAAATGCACTTGCTGGTGAGACTGTTTCCACCATCACCTCTGCTTCCTCTGAGTACAGTCTGGAAAAAATGAGGAAATTGAGTGGTAAATACTGTCCTGACCCGGCTCCTGTTCTATGGGTCGCTATTGATGTAGCAAACCCTCTTGACGTTGCCATTGAAA